CCGCACGTAGACGCGGACCCAGCAGTTTCGATAAGTAGTCAAGGTAAGTGACAATTGCTACCATTATCATGGAGATCACCACCTACAGAGCGACATATTCACAATAGGAACGATAACTGCAGCTGTCTCGTGACGCCATCTTATTTACAGGCTAATTATGCATATCTGAGGAGGGGATCATCCACAAAGATGGCCCAGGAGTCACCACCGCACAGTTCACACTGTTTTCTGACGATATTGTAAGAAGTGAAAACTAAAATCCATGGTAACATGTGCTGTGGCCAGATTCGCCGAACAAAATATATTTTGCGATTATAATCGCTTTTGTTGAATCTGAGGTGTGTAAGGCAAACAAACGTCAGCAACCGATCTTCCAGGGTGAAATCAGATGTTTTTTATTCTTAAAGAACACCGAAGAATGCCGCAATATGCTTAAAAGTGCGATTACGTTTTTTACGTCGCGTAAACCGGTGAAAAATGCGAATAGTTGGCGGTCCGTAAACTTGCAATTTCACTCACTTAAACGAAATACTCTAAGCAAAATATCGCAGAAAGTTGCAGATGGATTAGAGTAACTGTCCAGCAAAGTGAGAACTTCGGTGAAAATAATTTGAGTGTGCAACTACCCAGCTTACGTATTCGTTTTATAAACGCCGAATTGTTCATAGTTCACGTGGAGCTGCAGCGATTTCCTAGAATAAGCTTTTTCAATTGTTTCGGACTATTTTGTCGCTTGCATTGACAGTCTATTCCTATTTTATGCGTCGTACCCAACTGATGTGTTGTCTTCTTGAGAAGTCGATTCATGAACAAGCCGAACTGAAGCAGATGGTTGACAGGCCCTGGTCACTTGGTCCATTCCAAAACATACGATTGCTACATACGAGGCCTAGCTGCTTGGCGGAGGTTTGCCCCTACAGCCGCTCGTGTCTCGGTGGCCGAGTGGGGTAAGCTCGAGAGCAGACCTACTGGTTCGCGGTCCAAATCCGGGCAACGTCCCCCGACTTGTTTTCGACGCTCTCGGTTGAAACGTTTCCTCATAGGATGCTACTGCTTTTGTTGAGACATATATGGCATAAAAATATGCTTTACTAAGATGAAAGAAACCTAATGTTCCGAGTTCGAAAAGTCTTAAATATGCATACATGCTCAAGACTATAATTGCTTTTGAACCGAGATTTCCGTAAACACAAGTGTCGAGTTCCTTCCAAGTAGGCAGGTCGATGGATACGTTAACGTACGTGGATAAGTTTCGCTTAGTTCATAAACGTCCAATTGCACATAGTTCATGTGGTGAAGCAGAGATCTCCGAAGATCTTCGAAGGTAAAATTTGAAGGCGCGCGCTTCATGGCTTGTGTACAACTGGCCAGTCAGAATGCTAGCTTCCGAATGAACCGGATGGCCCGCTTGTGGGCCGCGCCTCGGACGCACAATGCATTTTTCTGCAAAACCCTTGAGAGTGAAATAAAAGCTTTTGCGTCAGAAATGTTACATTTGTTTGCACATGTGCTCAGTCCGAAGCTTACCTTTATCTACCATTAGTTTTCGAATTGTTTTAATTGATCTACTTTTGAAAAATTTTGACGCGTATTCGACTTTGCCTTACTGTGCTATTGTAGTATACGGTGTCGGTCAGTTTGGTTGATTCATATGTAAGTATTGGTGATGTACAACCTTGCATACTGGGCTTTGGCTCATGAGCTATGTTTCTGTTTTCCATCCACAGAAATTGTCGTGAACACCTGCCTTCGGAGAATCACTGGCTCCCGGTGCTTCCATAGCGTGGATATTACACTATGGCCTCGAAGGTGGCTTCACGAGCGTTTGTGGAGAAATTTGGGACTCTATCCTTTTCATCCTTTACGGCATTTGAGAAGGCCTTCTATCAATTCATGAATGATAGCTATGTGGTGTCTGTGCGTTCACCTAGTCTAAGGGACCCAAGACGAATTGGGCACCTGCAAGGCCCTCCTGAACTATGGAAGGCCACCGTGTGTGGTGCGGCAGTTTGTGGTCGATGAATTCGGCAAGGTCCTTACCACTCAAAATATATACGACTACAGTAGACCGGACACGGTAGACCGGACACGTGCTTTTCTGGCAGTCAGAGGAAGGTCACTACAGCCACAAATGCTTCTCCCGGTGGCAGCGCTCTTCGAACGCTCCCCATATGCATTTAGTATAGAGGTAACGCATGCAACAAATCGCTTTAGGTAAGTTTTTTAAAGCGACTAATATTTGGCCTGTAGATATAAGCTGTACAAATTCTTGAAAACGGATGGTATGGAAACTGGGCGTCCGGTCTGCAAAGAGGGCGTCATTTGATATGACGACCTAAAATCCTGGGGTTCCAATGCCAGTGCCCTCCAAATGGATGTAGACGCTACCAAGCAGTGGTCGTTGGACTGCCACGTTCCTCTGAATGACGAAAAGTGCGTCCATATGTCGTTTGGAGGAAACTCAGCCAATACCTTAGTTATGCATGGTGATAAAGTACCAGAAAACATCACGAGGGTAGATGCCAAAAAGGATTTGGGCATCTGGGTCTCCTCAAACTTGTCCTTCTCACTGCACCCTGAGAAATCGACCCAGAAGGCATTCGCCATTTTACGGATGATCCGACCCGTATCACTCGCATGGACTTCCGAACGCTCTATGGGGCCCACGTCAGACCATCCCTGGAATACGCAAACCAAGTTGTCTACTGGAGGCGCACGAAAGACGTTACCCTCATTCAGTGTTCAGTGAGCCGCTACGAGAATGGTTGCCGGCCTCCAATCCGTGAACTACGAAACGTGTCTCGCGATGCTTGATCTCTCTCCCCTGGAGTACCGTCGCCTCCGATGGGACCTAATTCTTACTTACGCCCTGTTCGAACAAAGCTTGACAAACAAGCTTTTTACCGTTGAACCAGGAAACACCCGGCAGGGACATAGTAAGAAAATTTTCGAACTCAGAGCACACACATTCATTAGATAAAATTTTTCCTCATTTCGGGT